CTCCTTCTGCAAATACCTTTCTCAAAGGATCCTTTGAAGCGGAATGTTCATCTCCAGCAAGAAGTGTATCCAGAGAGCAAGATACTAATTCTCCAAAGCAAGGTAAGTCTCTGACCCATCACTGCGCATGCTGCAGCAATTTTTAAAAAAGCAGTTTAAAATATTGCTAAGAGCTCCCCTTACTGGTTTGTCTCCAAACTGTTCAGTCTTCGGTCCTGAGAATCTTTTTATAGGAAATAAAGATGGGTAAAATAATACCTGTATGGCACAATTCTTCATTAAAAAAAAAAAAGCTTCATATCATATTTCTCTCAGATACCCTATTTTTAAAATTTCTTATTAGTTGTTAAATCACAAGACCAAAGGTAATGACTTAGTTTAGGAAGAATTTATTCTTCCATCATTATGAACTCAACCAATTTATTGAACCCTTAAGTTTGTGAAGTGTATGTAAGACTTGCCAAAGCCTGAATTACAAAACAAACATTGACACCCCATTCTGAAATATTGAGTAATACCTCATTTCACAGTAACCACCATCAGCTTTAATGGGATCATTTGTGGGATAATCAACAAGTCAATGTGGCAGAAGGATCAGAATCTGCTGTGGAACTGGGAACTGAAAAAGATTTATTATGAAATCTTACTGTTTCTTCAGTGGCCTACTGCCTGGTTGGGAGACAAAACATACCCCTCAACCTGTGTTGGTTTATATGATTAAAGACTTGATTTTATAGAAAGAGATATATACACAATATAGATAAATAATATATAAAATATACAAATTATATATATAACATTTTTTATATATGGTTTTTACAGCCCTACTTTTGCAAGCTCAACCTAGGGGGCGACTAAAATTGGACACTTTTATGGTGTTAAAAGATTAAGATAAGTAATTTTAACAACACAATGAGATACCATTATCTTAAATTCACAGTAAACAATCCTGTTAATGCATAAAATACATGTTCTCTAGTTTGTTACTGAATACTTGAGATGGCCCTGCAGAGGTAACTTGAGTAAGAATAAATAGGCAAACCTGTTGTTATGCCATGTTAAAAAAAAAGAAAAAAAAATAGAATGGAAGAGATGCTTTTGAATACACCCTGCAGTCATGGAAAGACTGTGAAATAGGATTTCTTAATGTACAACAGCACTTCAAGAAGCTTTTGTATCGCACCTCACACTAGTCCTATAGCTCTCAGCACTGTGCTATAGAACAAAAGCCAAACTATCATTATAAGCACATTAAATTTCTAAACAAATAAACAAAACTATTCTATCATTCTACATTCCTAATGGATTTAGGTGCCTGCCTTTTCATGAAACACGAGTAGGTTAGCTACAAAGTCAAGTCCACTCAATCTGGTTTCTCTCAGCTAAAATGGTGCAATTCCCTGAAGCATTCTCTATTTTCTTTCAATAGTTTTTTTTCTTGAGGCCACATCCATTGTTTCTGTTGACTGCTGGTTATTTCCTCCTTTATTGGACTGGACAATTATTCTTCCTGGGCTAACTGCTGTTCCAAAGGAGGAAAGGGGACTTGCATTTGTAACTGACTAAGAAATTAATTATAATCCCTCTCTGTATTGACTAACTCAGGGTAATCTTCATCATGCTGCCAACTCCCTCATTAAAATTACTCTCTGAATTAGCTTATCATACAATTTCTAAAAGTATCTAAATATGTGACAGCATTTAGGCTTATTTGCTTTTGTGATACACTATGGCCGTATTAAACAGCTTTCTTTGAAAACCATTAATAAACAAACTTAAAAAATAATCTGAGGCTTGAACAAACAGAAAACAAAACAAGCAAAACCAAACCCAAACACAAAAAACCCACAAAAAAAGTTAAATTTTCAGTTAAAATTAGGTACTATTGATTATTTTAATAGGAAGCTGTGTTTTCAGTTTCCACCCCTCTCTTTCCATTTAACAAATACCTTGATTGCAGTGTTCAAATTCTTACCTGCTGTAAATCTCTCATCTTTCTGTCAGATATTACTCTTTAGCTTCTCTATTTGTGTTAATTAAAGTGGCATTTTGGAGCCTGTTCAAAATTACAGTAACTACCCAAGAGCAACTGTTTATATCACAAACAAGTGAACTTGAAAGCCTTTTCAGATGTACGTTAAATACCAAATAAGAAATAAAGTTAAAATAAGCGTCCTTTAGGTAATTATCCTACCATGCTCTTCCTCCTGTAGTTAAGATACTCTGAATTTGGACTGAAAGCAAAAAGCGAAGCACCAGCTCAACCTATAGCAGTGAAAGCCCATCAAGATAAAATCTGCTGCTTCAACAAGATGCCAGGAGGAGTCTGCCATTCAAGCTCTTTTTTTGCTGCTCAGGCAGGACCTGAGCAAAGTATACAGTCCCTGTGCCAGATAACAGCAAAAAACTGAACTTATTAGCTATGTATAGAAATGTTACGTTAACATATAATATTCCAAATACAGTGAAAGCTGATGTCCTCACCATACCAACTTCATTAGTGATACATGTATATATTTAAACAGATTTCCTTAATCTTTTATTCTCAAATGCTTCCAGCCTTTAATAAAGATACTCATAACACAATATTTCATTCTAAGCTCTCCTTATCAATAATATTTCACACCTAAATGAAAGCCAGAGAAAACATTTAAAATCTGTAAGTGTAAATGTTAACTATCTCAGAGTGTCTTGACATTTTTAAAGCTACTATCTACTTTTCTCCCATCTGGGAAATACACATATACATACACATATATATACACACACACACACACATATGTATGTAATTTAAAAAGCATAAAGCATGCAAGGTCCAGGATTATATACTTTCAAAAAAAACCCACAACAAACAAAAAACCAAAACTAAAACACAAGCTACAAAGAACTCAGCTCCTTAGACCCCATAAGGTGATACCAATTTGCTTCTTTTATCTTTTGTTTATCCTTCCATCTTAGAATCAGTTAGGCCTGGTTAGGTTGCAGGAGGGATCGAAGTCTAATTAAGCACAATTAACTAGGAGAAAAAGATAAGAACTGCAAGAAATCTATCATAGATTTAAAAGGAAAATCACAATAGAAGTGTAGCACTAGAAATACTAAATAGAGGTAAGTTGCCCAGGCATAATTCTAACACAACTTTTCAAATACTGCCATTTGAAAAGAGAGGGAAGGATCAATTACCTTTCATCAAAATCTGGATGGAAAATAAAATAAGATCCCAAAGAAAGGATAATGAATAATAAATTGCATGAAGCTATCATGCCATGTAAAGATTACTGATTATGCGTCAATTAAATAAGTATCCAATAATCTTCCATAAAATAAGAGGTCCATGTTAGACCAATGTCAAGAAAAAGATAAGAAACAACACACCATTACTAAAAGATTTCAACTTTTTGTATCAAATGAAGATGTGTAGCTGGTTCTTGATCTATGTGACTAAAGAAGCTTCCGCTTGTAAAAGGAAGACGTGAAACAACTTGGACCAAACTCAATTGTTCTATACAGTCAGAGGACGGGTACCAGAAGCTAAATTCTACAGGGCTATTTGCTCAACTCCATGAGCTTGAATATATGCAATTCAGCAGAACTTTGGATAGCTTTTTGATGAAGAACATCTAATGAAACTTTCTCCTGAAACTTTCCTATTACTGGGGAAAAGAAAATAAAAACCCCAAACAACAAGAACAACCAACAAACCAAACCCACAAACTAATCTGATATCCACTGAACAAGGGAAAAAAAAGAAATGGTCTGAGAGTCGGTAGAAAACCCTGCTCCTTATAAAAGCCTTTCTATTTACACTTGTTTTCCCCCAAAAAATAAAAACATGGCATCTGATGAGCAGCTCTGAAAACCAAGCTTCCATTTGAAGTAATATTGTAGAAGTCTTGCATTTGTAAAAGATTACTTAAAGATTGAATAAATTTGACTATTTTGAGTAGGAAGTAGGCTGAGAAAAGGTAGTATGTGTTATTCTGCTTGTTTCTGTAATCTGCATCTGCCATATTTGTAGACAGAAATCTTCACAGGTTTTATCATCATACACTAGCCAACTTACTAAATAAGCCAGGGTCTGGGATAGTAAGGTACAAATACAGCATAAAACAAAAGAAAAAAGAAACAACAAACAAATCAAAAAAACTATGAAAATATATGGCTTTCTCACAGTAAAGTGCAATAGGGAATGCAGAACTAAACTGAATTAAAAAACCCACATACAACAAAAACCCGACACCACCAGAAAAAATAAAATAAAATAAATTAAAAAATAAAAAAATCAAACCCAGCTTTCTTCACAGGTAGACCAAACAAGTCTTTATTTCCCCTTCCTGATCACATAGGCTATTGTGACTAAGTATCAGCTTCAGTGCAAAACTAGAAGCAATTATATCTAAAGGATTGGTCTCCCATTCTCCCATTTGTTTTACCCCTTTAATTTGCTATTGTTGATATGCAAGTAATCGGTTTAAAATTAAAATGCGATGATCTGGATTAATGGTTTTTTTTTTTTGTCTCTACCTCCTCATATGCCCCATTCCCCTCTAAACTCCTAAAGTCCCACCACCACTCTCCAAACCCAGAAGAAAACAGAAAGCGTAGCCTCAAGTAGAAGTAGACAAGTAGCATGGGGCATTTACAAAATGTTGGGGGGGGGGGGGGGACGGGACACAAAACAAAAAAACAACAAAACAAACAGCTTTCACCAACTTTAATTTTGTGTATAAACCCTACTAAGCTAAAGCACTATCTGACCATGCCTCCATCTTATGGAGATGTTCCATCAAGCATAGAGTATACTTTAACAGACATTCTTTAAATTATTTCAGTCACACTGTAATCAAATTTTATCAATTCCACAAGAACATAACATGTCAGGGGTGTTCTTATAGCATTCCAGTACAGAAACACTAACTTTTGGGTCATACCACCTTGCAAATAAAAAAAAAAAAAAATGGAAAAAACAGAGAGCATGAATCAAAAATTCTCTAGTCAAGTTCTCAAGTTTATGATTTTAAGGATTTTAATAAAGATATCATGATTTTTTCAAACTTATAAATACAATTCAAGAGTATGTCTATGAAAATGATCCATTTTCTAGAGTACCCACTCCCATGTGAAACTTAGTAACCACAGTGTATTTATTAAAACAGTAACAATCCAAGCTATTGAAATTCACTATTCCAAAACTTGCAGTAATCTCATTTCTCTAGTCTTTCTACTTCTGAGTAACAGGAAAAGAGTTCTGGTCCATTAACTCGCCCACTCTCTCCTGGAGGAAGTTAACCAACTCAGCTAATACAAAGACGTGAGTTTCATCCAGGTCCTGTATGATGAACTTCTTTCCCAATGCATTTGACTCATCCAAGTAGAGCAGAAACTGCTTCATTGCTGGGTCGCTGTAGAGACAAACACAAGTCAGATCCCACCTCACGGTAGTAAGATAGAGCTCAAAACCAACAGAAAAACCACCATTTGAAAACACTGCCAAAGTTTGATGGGAAATCAGTATTAATTTCAAGAGTTGCTTACAACTTCATGAAGCCTTTGAAGAAGTTGTTTATTTCACAATAGTAAATACTTGGGTTACTTTAAACAGATAAAGTCAAATGAGAACATGCTGCTTGATTAGCAGACAGCATCCCTATGCTGATGTTTAAGTAGCTTAAAAAAAACAAACCCAAAACCAACCAACCAACAACAAACCAAAACAACACTTAAATAAGGCAAGTCTGAGCTTGTATTTTTATCTTCAGTAATAGAACCATAAAACCATGTTTTCTTAAAGCATATTTTTGTTTAAGAACAAACAAAACCCAAGTGAACACTGATCCCACTCAAAGTGGTACAGCACAGAGAAAAAATAGTAATGTATGTATGAATTGTACATTTATCAAATAGTGACCAAACAGTCTTTTTTATGATGTTACCTCCTAAGTTAAATTTACAAGTTTAGAAGAAAACATTTTGGAAGTATGGATATTGCAGGTAACTGAAACAGCTCCATTATACTAAGCAGCTAGTTAAAGTGGTTCCTTGATCCACTGAAATTTTGACGCGTTCGGGCAATATCATTCTGATACTCTTTTTTACAAACCAGGAAAAGCATGTTCTTTGGTAAAACTTAGTATTTGAATGCAACAAGTGGTGAATAATATGTGCAAGAAATACAAGAAATTGGAATCGGGTAGCTCTGGACACTTCAAAATTATGAACATAGTTGTTTTGGCAACACAGTAATTCTTAAAAAGCATTTTTAAGAACATAAAAATCTGTAAAGAAATCCTCTTCAAATCCTTCCTTTTAAGCACAATATAAGGACTAATTCTCCCTTACCTAAAAGTATATATGGTGTAATTCAAAAAACAACCTTTAACATTAGCCTCAAACCTGTAGAAGCATGACTAGAGTAAGATGAGTTTTCAAAGTAGAAGGTAATTTTGAGGAAAGGAGAATGGGAAAGTTAGCAAGCTATATCCGCTTTAGAAGAGATATTTATGTACTCTGGTATTTAAGAAGAGAAACCAAAGAACTGACAAAAATCAGATACCAGAAGTACGTGATTCTCAGCATTCTGCTACATGCCCCTTTGGATGGGTGCAAGGAGGTTTAATTTTTGCTTGTTTCATTCTGCTGTACTTCAGTGACTGACATCAGTAGTACTGGCTTTTGTCCTAGCTAGGCAATATCCAGAGACTGGTTTTCACACAATCAGCATAGAGAGCTGTACTCACTACCAATAGGTTTATGTGTCACAGCAGAGACACTTATCTCATTACAGTACTTGAAGATTACAATCCTTGATATGGTGCTTTCAGAAAAGCACCAACATGGAAAAATACCTGCACAACATTTCACTATCTTATTTTCATTATTTACACATTCAGAAGTGGGTTGGTTCAGTTTTTTGCACTGCCTGTCCATTTGGTATTGTAAACATCCTCAAAAAACTGGGTTGTAAAAAACTTGTGTCTGAACTGTAAAGAAGGGGACAGATTTATAGTAATTCTGCATCTTCTCCCTGAATGAAATTTTGTGCCAAATCAAAGGTCACCTTTATGCAAAGGTGGGGAGAAAACAAACAAAACCAAACCAAGAGCTAGCAAAACCACCTCAAAAGTCAGTTTCCCAGGGAGCTGTTGAAAACATCTGATGGCATAACAAATGCTACAGATTTGTTATCAGAATGATTAAGTTCCATGCTAATACTAAGTGGTACATGGCCATGGAGCTGAATAAAAACACTCAGATCTTTAAATATGTGTAAAATAAACACATACAAAACAAAACATTTTGCTAGCATCTTGAGATTTTAGAGCTTCTTGCCTTGTCATTCAAGAATTCTGAGCTCTGAGCATCTTTACATAATCAGCTGCAGGCAGGCATTTTTTTGTGCTTCAGAGGTTTATTAATGTACTAGCATGAAGCCAAACTTGAGTAGACAAGCTTTTCATTATAGCAGAGTTCTGAACTGCTCACACATAGCCATTAGACATCCAGACTTCAGCTGGCTAATGTCCAATCAGCTCAGAAGACAGATATTGCAAGATCACAGTTTTATGCAGGCAGATCACAAGCAGTTCAAGGTTCTTCTACTTTAGTGCAGTTACAAGTGTACAGCAGAAATGTTATATAACGCTACGCAATGATTCTACAAATCCTGACTGATGCTTCTTTCTACTCTGAAGGTTAACTAGTTATCCAATTCTTAGTCATGTTTACTGTATATACATGGAAAGCTTACTTTCACAAACTAAAAGAGTGTTCCTTTTTGAGAATCAACTACAAACAGGGCCCCATATCAGCCTTGCTGGGATTTGGACTGGAGTTGATGAAAAAAAGAAAAGAAAGGATAAAAAATTATCCCTTCTTCTACAGCCAGTAAAGAAACACACTGCTCATTAACAGCAACACAAAATCCCCCACATTATTTGTAAGCAATTTAATGAACAAGAGGGTACATCTAATGGTTAAGCATAAATGGAAAACAGTATCTTGAAAAGAAAAAAGGAGTTTAGAATTAGCATTACCTACAACTGCCTCTCCTTCCCCCAAAGGCCTCGCTTTTCTCATATGTGCTCACTCAGCATCACCCCTTCTCACCATAACTCCTTTTTTTTGGGTCTAGACTCTTAAGTTACATAGAACATTTCCAGCTCTAAAGAAATAAGTAGACTTTGACGTAACAAGAGACAGTAAGTGCTGTTACTAACCATTCAACCAGCACACCTTTCAGAACATTCACCATCTTCTGAGTTTTCTCACAAACGCTGAAAGGAAGAGGTGACAAGCACAGCTCTTGCTTTGGGCTTCACAGGTAAACAAGAGTAAACCTGAAAGCAAAGGAAGCAACGCCTTGGTTGAACTCAGCGATACTTCACGACAAGTCACCTCTCCAGGACCCGAGCTGCCCGGCGACCACGAAAAGCGGCGGGGGCCTGGAGTGGCGCGCAGGGACAGGCCGTAGTACCAGACCTAGCGCAGGCAGGACACTGAGCTGGGAAAATTAAAGGCCTTCCCCTTTTCCCCTCACCCCTAGAAGCAATATGGGGACTTCTGCCCCCCGCCAGCACCTCCAACAGCTGGAGACAACCACCCACAGCAGCCTTGCAGAACGCGGCCTGGGCGAAGGGAAGCAAGCCCCAACGCGCACCTAGGAATGCCGGGGGCTTCTCCCAACCGGCAGATTCCACCACTTCTCAGGGGAGCCGCTCTCTCACTCCCGCCCGCCCCTCACCTTCCCCTGTGCCGCTGCCACCGACCGCTTCCCTGACGACGGAAACTCCGCACTAATCACCACCACCAACCGCCACCGTCATCACTATGCCATGCGCATGCGCAACCTTCCCCTCCGGGGTCTCCGCTCACGGCATCGCCTCCTCATTGGCCAGGCTGCCTGCAGCGTGCTGACGTCACGGGAGCGCGAGGGCGCCGCTGGTGGGCGCGGCGGGGAGAGGCAGAGGCGGAAGGTAGCGGCGGCGTTAGGCCGGTGGGCGGGGGGTCGGCCGCGGAGGCCGGAGGGAGCAGGGAGGGTGGCTGGAGGTGGGGAGGCAGGGTCCCGGGGTGGGACCCGAGTGGAATGTCAGTACCTCTGTCACTACCTGCCTCCTGTTTACTGCAGGAGGTTTACTTGCCTTCCTGGTTTAGTATTTATTACTGTTTTCACGACCTCGGACTCGAAGTCCTTTCTGGCTCCAGCAGCCCGCAGCGGCGAGCGCGCCTCCTCTGCCCCTCGGCCTGGGCCTGCCGAGCGGCTCTGTCTGCCGCTCCCGAGGTAACAGCGGTGCCTCGGGCCTCGCCTTCGTCGTGCGAGTGCAGAGGTGGGGACCTGTGGGTTTACCCCTCTGGAAAGAGGCACAGTTGTTACCACTTTGCTTCCTGGCTAGTAAGATGTGACGTTGCCCAAATCTTTATTATTTTTAATATGCCCTAGTTATGCAGTTGCAACTGCCCCACGCTGTGGTGGTTACAAGCTTTGGTACCGCACAGGCCCGTGTAGGAGTTTGTTGCTGGCTGCCTAGTTCAGGGGATTGTGGCACTTGCTGTTTATTGCGGCTACATGTTGTGGTTAGGTAGAAGAATAAATGTTAGTACTGTGGTTCTGTGCATAAAGATAGTAAAGCCATAGATTGGAGGCGGGGGAGATGTCTCCAGAGGGCTGGTTATTAATGCCTTGGAAGTGTTTCATAGTGTTACATATTCTCTTTAAGTGAATGACAATGCATAAATACAATACTGGAATAACAGAACCCAAAAAAGTGTTCTGCTGTGATTGTGGCAGTGCTGGGGTAGTCAGGGAATCGTGGAACGGTTTGTGTTGGAAAGGCCATTAAAGATCATCAAGTCAATGTAAACGCATTAATGCAGACAGTGGAGTTTTACTTACAAAATATGAATTTCACATTACTTCTGCAATCTATGCAAAACCAATTTTTGTGTATTTTGTGATTGTTAAAAATATTTAATTTTTTTTTCTGGATTTTGGCATAATTCTTGTACTAAAAATACTACACATTCTATCTACTAAGACTTGAGATTAAGTCTTCAGCAGATGTGATATGCAGAACTTGATTGTTGTTGTAGGTTGCCAAGCCAATTTGTTTATTTTCCTAGCTGAGGGAAGTTTTTCTCATTGAAATCAAATGTGAAGGCAGTAACTTTGGCTAGTATGTAAAATGGCAAATACACCTGAGTGGTAGAAAGAGGAATTGGTGCTTTTGCCTGGCCAAAATCACCTTGGTTTTCAGTGCTTGGCTAATAAAACTGTACTTTCTTTGAACCTCACTGTACAGAGGTTAACATACAGCCTTTATCATTGGTCTAAAGTGCACTGTGTCTTTATGGTGCTTCCTGAATAGTCCTACTTTTTCAAAGAGGCAAGGTAATATCTAGAATGTATAAGAAAGATGCAGTGTGCTTCTCTTAGCTCATCTTCCAACCTGTAAAATGGGGAAAATTCAATGCCTTACATCATATGTATGTCAGAAGACTAAACCATTTCTGAAGAACTCGGGTACTGCTTTCATGGAGATTTTTGCTGTCAAGGAGATTCATGCTTGCATGCAGTTCAGAACTTGGGTATTCTACAATACAGTAGGTGGTTTTGATGACTGGAAAAAAAATATAGCTTGATTTCAGCATTCAGTGAATACAGTCCAATTAGTCTGTCAGTAATCTGAGTCTTCATAATGATGGATTACTAAGGTCTTAATTTTAGAACAGGTTGTGTTCCTCATGGCCATGGCTAGGTTTCCATTCTTTTGCATGTGTAAGAATTTTTCTAGGACAAGAGTCCTTTATGTTTTACCTGTAAGCATGCCCTTTAGAGTTTCATGAGCCCATGGAGTCAGACATTTTAGAACCAATATTTATTTTTATTAACTGTAGAGTTTTCACATTCTCAAAGTGTTAGTTGGATTTGCCCTTTTAAAGGAAAAAATATGTAGTAGTAATTCTTTGATCCTTGTTAGTCAAAATAAAAGACTTTATTGCTAACAGAATCAGTTACATACTTTGAAAGCATAAAGTTCATTACTGAGTTGTATTAAAGTAGTATCATAATGAAGAATGTCTTGATGGACATATGACTGTATCTGGTATTTAAGGGAGAGTTACGAAGAAGTAAGAAAGGAAGCTGACAAGAAGGGAAGTTAATTAGAGATACATTCTAAAATCAAGACACTGTATCAGACACTGCTTTAAATTTTTATTGTAATTGAAATGAAGCCTAATAATTTAAGGAGTTCATAGACTTATTTAATTAGAGCACTTTATATAGAGTTAGATGACACAAATACGGTTTATTGTGACCTTTGCTGTAAATCATGACCTTTGCAATCATGACCTTTGTATTAAAAGGACAGGGAAAAAACTGCTACAGGTTTTCTGCTGTAATTCTCAAATCAATCATTGCTTTCTCTCTTTTTGTTTGTTTGTTGGTTTTTTTTTGGTGTTTGTTTTGTTTGTGTGTTTTGGTTTTTTTTTTCAACGCACAGAATGTCAGTGACTGCTTACTGTGTATTTTGCTATAGACAAATAGGAACTATAGGAACTCCTGGTCCAGCCACAAAAACACATCTACCCTGGCATGATATCAGTAAGTACAGTTCTATATGTATTGATCTGAGGTGTTAATAAAAAGGAAAAAGCTGTGTTGATATGAACCCATGCATAATTAACTGATACTAAAGATCTAAATCCATAAATACTTTGTGATCAGGGGTTTTTTTTGGCCTGAAGTGGGTGTCTGCCTCTGACGTTGCTTTGCGTAATGATATGTAAAATTGACTCTAGAAGATTATCTGGAATTAGAACTAAGATGAAGGTCCCCTCTCTAAATGCAATCTCCATTTTATATCTTATTTTTTTATAACTGTTAGAGCCATGAAAAGATTACATTCATAAACTATTAATAAGGTTGCAATAAAGTTTGTTCCTATTGTTTCTTTCTCCTTATTTAATGGTATTAATTCTGCAGTCTTTCCTACTTAGTGTCTGCTTTCTTCAGTGCCTTCTGTATAGGATGACAATTCTAATGACTCTAAGGGGGTTTTTTGAGCATTAAAAGATGGAATATTTATTTTTCTGCTCTACAGGAAGCATTGCAATTTTTTGCCTTTTCAACTTTCTCTGCCAGTTGTTTTTCAACATTTTCTGCCTCTTCTGTGCATGCAAAATTTTTACAGTTTCACAACCTGGTGGCAGTGGTTGTGAGGCAAATCTCCCAGTTCATGCTGAGGAAAAGAAATTATTCATGATAGGTGAGATGAGTTCCACTGGGTTTGCTGCTACTAGTAATAATGGGGTTTCTCTGTATTGAGATCCTATAATCCAGGCAAAATACTCAGATCTGACAGGAATTGATGGATTTAAAAGGGAAATTATTGCAAGTGGCATGTTTTTATTCAGCTGTTTGCTTTATATGTGAGATTCAGTGGAATTTTTTTTCAAAACCTATTTTCTTAAAGAGGCTCTGCAGCACTTTTCAAAGAACATACATGCTCCTGTATGGATTCATATAAATTGAAGAAATATCCACCATTGGGTAACTCCTTAAAATGTTCTGAATGAATGCTAGTTGCACAGGCAGAGAAAGTTTACTGTTTGTGCCTGCAGCTCAGCAATGAATATAATTAATTGATGGGTGGCAGTACTTAAAGTAAATAGTACTGGCAGAGTACATGTTTTATCGTCTTGCTTAGGAGAGCAGGAAATTCTGATCAGTTATTGTTTTTCCTATTTGTAAATTTATGTAACGATTCTCTGAAAGCCAGAGAGCAATGGAAAAGTTTAAAAAAGCTTACTCTTAGCGGCTGACATTCTTAGTGTGTGGTAATCAAATGCTAACTATATTTATATTGAGGTGATGGACACAACTTTGTTTGACATGTATTTTTTGTTTATTTTCAAGGAAAAATTGCAAAGGTAACTGGATCACTGATACTTGGGTAAGTTGTAACTGACAAGCATGCATGTAACTTATGAATTAAAATTTTAATTGTATTATGTGTATCTTTCAAAAAATGTAACAATGCTACAGGACCTTTAGACATAGTAGAATATAGCTTTGAAGCATATTTTCTGATAGTTATTACTTATTTTAATGTATTTTAGAGTCTTTACTTTGCTAAATTAAAGTAATATGTCAGCTATTACTAACTTGGTAAAATCTGCATGATAAATATCAGAGTGATTGTTAACATGTTTTTACCATAATATTTTTAAAATTAATGTTCATACACAGTTTTCTTTTATTTAAAGAGGCTTTGTATTCATTACGTATGAAGTCCTGTCCTTAAAGAAGTTACTGCGAATGGATACTCAAGCTCTACATCAGGAAAAACTTAAGTCCTATATATATGTACATACAGCTTCTCTAAATCAAAGTGAATATCAAGGTAAGATTTATAATTGGTTGGATTCTAAAAATAGCATATTAATGTTTCTGTAAGTCACCATTATATAAAGAAAATTGTATTACCTGAGATCTGTTGCAAAAATAGTGTTCTTCACAATGTCACCAAATTTATTTTAAACTGATGGCTGGGTTTTTAAGATAGTTCTATACATACAGTTCTCTGTATATTAGATACTTGTCGCTATGTGTGTCCATATGTGTATGTGTGTGTATATATTTTTTCATATATATATATAGAAAATAATGTGAGAAAACTGTCTTTCAGTCTTCTAGTAATCTAAAAATTCTCTTGTAGGAATCACGTACAAAGCCAGAAAAGAAATCCATAAAGCAGTGAGGAAAATTCTAGAAACAGAAGCTAAATTTTTCCGGAGACCTTTTAAAGGTAGGTATTGAAAGCGTGGCTTTTTATCTATGATCACTATTTTTGAATAGTGGAACATCAGTTATTTAGAAAGTAAAGTAATTTTTCTTACAAAATTACCTTTTTTTTTTTGTTGTTATTGAAATGGTGGTAATATTACTTACAATTTTCTATATTAATAGTAAATGAAAGTGATGTTTAAGAAGAGATTTGAGATTACTCGCTAATGATTAATATTCAGTTATTAAAAGAAACAGTTGTGGTGTGTTTTTTTTTTTTTCTTAACAAATAGAAATGTGACTGTTAAAATGCTCATTAATAATAACGTCTGCTTCATTTCTGTCCTGGTAAAAGAACAATTTAGTACATTTGATGGAGAAGATCATGAATGTGCCTTATGGCTTCTCTTAAAGAGAACTCAGTCAGAAGACAAAGAGGTCCGACTACAGGCTGTACAAGACCTGGCAAACAACAGTCACTGGCATGGTAACGTATACAGATACAGCCTAATTCATCCCAGAAACGGAAGTGTCTCAGCTGTTTCAGGTCTGCTGCCAACAAAAGCTGGGAGCTGCAAAAAGTGTAAATACTGTCTGAAATTTGGTCTAAAATATGTGGGGTTTATTTATATTTCAAGCAATCATTCTTTCCTTATACCCTGGTACAGAGTGTGTATCTGCAGTACAGGCCTCTCTCTGTTTCCCCACCAGACAATTGCACCCACTGTTGTGCACTGCTGTGATGTGGGAAGGCAGTTCATGTTCATTAATTCCTTGTTTTCAGCTGGGACTGCCAGCACGGTCACAAGTCCTGGCAGTGATTTTTATAAGGCTCTGTAAGAGTGACTTCAAGGCCATGGTTAAGTTAATAAAAGTTGATTAGTAGCTGATAGGTAGTAATAGCAAAGTAGCAATGAGAAAATAGAGGACTTATATGTGCAAGTATTATTTGTAAGCCATTTTCCATCTTAGTTGTTATTTAATAGTAATGAGCTCTCCCTGTTGCTCTAGCAGCAAATATCCTTGAAACCCCAAGTAAAGGGAGTGTTTGTGAATATGTTTGGCCTCTTCCCCCCCCTCCATCACTAGTCCACATAAGCTAGGTGTCACTAATCTTCACTCTCATTATTGTGGTAACTAGATCAGCTGAGGACCTTTCACTCTTGCAGTGCTTTATAGGATTTATCTTGTTTCAGGTTACCTCTTTAAAATTCTAATTAATTTCCTCAAGAAATTTGCATCAAAAAGCTGTGTTTGAAAACATTTGAAAGCTAGGATGTACCAAAACTGAAGCTTTGTATACTAATTTAGTATAACTGTCTCCTGTTTATGGGAGAATATCTGTTAGCAGGTGATCTCAGGTCTTAGTGCACAAGATGGCCAGTACTCAGGAATTTAGTTGCTTTTGCTGTACTTTTTTATAGTGCTCATTGCTGTAGTATTTGGGATTTTCAAAAACACCAATTATTCTTGCTAGCTACCTCATGAAAGAAAATTTTTTTAAGCTGGTAATTCCAGAATGGAGTCCAAGAAAGATTAAGACTGAAAGTATGTGCTAACTTTTCACAGCTAAGACCAAATTGTTCAGCATGTCTGTTAACATAAGTAGAGTATTTTGCTTGTCCAAAACACAGCTTTGGTGACTTCAGTTTGCAGCTGTAAATATTCTGCACCAAATTACAAAGTATGACTGATCTCTGACTGTGAAAATTATATTTTATATGGCTTGGCAGTTTTGTTCTAGAATTGTATAACAGTAACAAAGATAGAAAGAAATTTTATAGAAAGAAAATATTATTCCCATTTGAGGGTGGGTTTTTTCTTTTTCCCTTTCATTTTGCTACTCAGTGTCAGTATGTAATTTCACATTTTTCCAGCTATGAAGTAGGTAGGATTTGGAAAGGAACAGTCCACAAAAGGTGGAAGCAAGGACAGGCAGCCTGAGAAGAATACAGGGATATTGTCTGGGCAGCTAGGGACCAGTTAGGAAAGTTAAGGCCCAGTTAGAATTAAACTTGGCTAGGGATGTTAAGGGTAACAAGAAGGGATTCTATAGGTACGTAGAGAATAAAAGACAGACTATGGACAACATGAGCCCCCTCCGGAAGCTATCAGGAGAATTGACTACCCTGGATTTGGAGAAGGCTGAGGTTCTGAATGACTTCTTTGCCTCGGTCTTCACTGGCAAAGGCTCTGACCACACCACCCAAGTCTTGGAAGGCAGACGTAGGGACTGTGAGAATGAAGACCTTGCGCCCACTGTAGGAGAGGATCTGGTTTGAGACCATCTTAAAAATCTGAACATGCACAAGTCCATGGGACCTGATGAGATCCATCTGTGGGTCCTGAAGGAGCTGGAGAATGAAGTTGCTGTCCATCATATTGGAGAAATCATGGCAGTCAGGTGAAGTTCCCAAGGACTGGGAAAAGGGAAATATAACCCCATTTTCATGAAGGGGAGAATGGATGACCCGGGGAATTACAGACCAGTCAGTCTCACCTCTGTGCCTAGCAAAATCTTGGAGCAGATTCTCCTGGAAGGCATGCTAAGGCGCATGAAAATCAACAAGGTGCTTGGTGACAGCCAGCATGGCTTCACTAAGGGGAAATTCTGCCTGACCAATTTGGTGGCCTTCTATGATGGGGCTATGGAACTGATGGACAGGGGTAGAGCAGTTGATGTCATCTACCTGGACTTGTGCAAAGTGTTTGACACTGTCCCACACGACATCCTTGTCTCTAAATTGGAGCGACATCAATTTGATGGATGGACCACTTATCGGTGGATAAGGAACTGGCTGGATGGCTGCACACAAAGAGTTGTGGTCAATGACTCTATGTCCGGCTGGAGACCAGTAATGAGTGGTGTCCCTCAGGGATTGGTGTTGGGACCTGTCTTGTTTAACATCTTTGTTGGTGACATGGACAGTGGGATTGAGTGCGCCCTCAGCAAGTTTGCCGATGACACCAAGCTGTGTGGTTCAGTTGATACACTGGAGGGAAGGAATGCCATCCAGGGGGACCTTGACATGCTTGTGAGGTGGGCTGATGCCAGCCTCATGAAGTTTAACCATGCCAAGTGCAAGGTCCTGCACCTGGGTCGGAACAGTCCCAGGCACAGCTCCAGGTTGGGCAGAGAAGGGATTCAGAGCAGCCCTGCGGAGAAGGACTTGGGGGTGTTGGTCGATGAGAAAATGAACATGAGCTGGCTTCAGTGTGTGCTTGTAGCCCTGAAAGCCAGCCATGTGCTGGGCTGCATCAAAAGGAGCGTGACCAGCAGGCTGAAGGAGATGATCCTGCCCCTCTACTCTGCTCTCCTGAGACCTCACCTGGAGTATTGTATGCAGTTCTGGTGTCCTCAACATAAAAAGGACATGGAACTGTTGGAACAAGTCCAGAGGCGGGCCACGAGGATGATCAGGGGACTGGAGCAGCTCCCGTATGAAGACAGGCTGAGAAAGTTGGGGCTGTTCAGCCTGGA